AACAAAATGTTCAACAAGATTGTAAGCAGAGAAAGCATCAATTATTTATACAACATGGTAATAAGATTAGTATAAAAAGATATGATAAAATAATGTATACACTATTTTGTTTTCTATTTAATCTATTTTGCCAAACATTTCTATAAAAAAAATATATTTCAAATAGAAAATGTTCGCTTTTGCAATACCCATAGATCTGTGATAAGTTTTCACTGAAAAGCATGTGTTGTCAAACTCAAGTTAAATGCATGGAAACAAAAAATAACATTAAAGATATTTCATTCTTTCTACTTTCAAATATAAAGTTCCCAGTAGTAAAAAATACACACCAATCTCATTGCTTATGTAATTGAAGTGGGTCTCACACCCGTTTTTAAAATGGGTGACCCCAAATTTGACGAAAGGTTTAATGTCTGAATGCATTTTTATCTATTATTACAGTCATTTGATATCTACATGGCTGTTGCTGACTACACACCTGATACAGCTGAGACTGAAGACATCCCACTAGTTGAAGGACAGTATGTAGATGTACTTGACTCTAACAGTGCCACTAAATGGCTAGTCAGAACCAAACCAACCAAATTGCATGCACCTAAACAAGGTTGGGTAAGAGCTAGCTACTTGGAAAAGAAAACACATAAACAGTATGAAAGAAAAGAAAGACCTAAGTCGAGGGAAATTCCCGATTTTGAAGTGGAATTGGAGTTCAGTCGGATGGAGAGGGTCGATAGTAAAGAATTAGAAGCTATCAAGAAAAGAGGGTAAGATTTCCATTTGAATTCTGAGCATATCCTGTGCTATTGGCTGATAAAGTACATGTGACCTCACATGAAAGCCAATCAGAGAACCTTTTTTCCACTCTCAGTATCAAGTAGATTATGATTCATTGGCATATCATTTCACCTTATTGAAACTGTGCTTTGTTTTTACCCCAGCCTTCACGTTTAGTTACTCAAAAAACTAAATGTATTGATTCCAGTAACTACAGAGTCAAGGTCGGGCTAATTTCAAGGTGTCTATGTTTGCAATAAAATTGTTGCAATTTTAAGCTAAATTTAGATTATGCTAATTTATACATTGAGTCAGATTTGTTAAAATAGTGTTTTACAGCTGTCAAGCAAGTAGAAAATATTAATTTTCATATATAAACCAGTATTATCCCATTAGCTACAAAAAAACTAAAAAATATGTTTGAGAAACACTGCACAGAAACAATGCATAATGACAATAAAGGCACTAATCACAAAAATAAACTTCGTACCTACAGACAGCTGAAAACTGATTTTGCACTTGAAAAATACCTTGAAATTATTAAAAACCCCATCCACAGATCATCTATGACTAAACTGAGGATAAGTGCCCACATACTTCAGATTGAAGTTGGGCGATATCACAACATAGATGTCTTAAATAGAACATGCCCTGTCTGTGACTCCAATGAAATTGAAGATGAAGAACACTTCCTCTTCAATTGTAACCAGTACAAATTTGAAAGAGATGCTTTGTTTGAAAACGTAAACTTATCCGGTAATCTGAAAGCACTTCTCAATAACAAAAATTCTGAAACCGTCCAAGCAATTGCCAAGTTTATCAGCGACTGTTTCAATAAAAGAGAGAATTTCATGAAAAGCAATTTACCAGCTGCCTCAAAATAACACCATAAAAATATTTATATAATAATATTTTCACAGTATTACTATTTATTTCTTTTTTATTATTATTATTACTTATGTATTTTATTGTTCCTTATATCCTTATTGTATTCTAATCTAGATCCCAGAAGGGATACGATATCAATAAAGGTTGTTGTTATATGTATTTTCTCAGATATGTTTTGGAGGAATTGTTAGCTACAGAAAGACAGTTTGTAAAAGATCTACAATTTGCCGCTGATAACTACTCCAAAGCGGTAGACAGTCCATCATTTCCATCTTCTTTACAAGGAAAGAAAGAATCACTATTTATGAATATCGAAGAAATACTGGATTTTCATAGAGAGTGAGTACTCATGTGTTCATGAATTTTAAAATAATGCAGTATTATAATTCTCATATTTCTTGTACTTTTGAAAAATAAAATATTGTCACAGTTTCTACCTAGATGTTAAGTTTATATTCAACCCCAATCTGATTTTTCTAGTCAAAGTTTTTTGTGCTCTCTTGTTGCATGGCTGTGTGTTCATCTCTATCGAATGGCAATTTGACAAAAGTGCTTTGGACCTTAAATGAGATTCCACCAAAATCCTATCTGTCATTGAATGAAATTTACCCAGTGAGTCATGGCCAATTTGTTGTGAATTTTAGACCTACCAATCTGCGTAACAATATATTCTGGCTGTTTTTCCGCATTGTGTATTTTGTTTCAAATTAAAATGCGATTCCTAGATCAAATTGAATTTTTTTTAAACCTTTTCAAAATATTTTGAACATCCTAAAATTTCACATCATTTTTCCAGTTAATGAAGGCTCTCATAACACTTTTCAGCTTACATTTGTTTGTGAATTTCTATTTATGAATTCTTCAGATAAATACTGATATTTCTGTTCAATTTCAGTTACTTTGTCCATGAACTTGAGAACTGTAATAATGATGCTGCAAGCGTGGGACGTACATTTATTAAATGGGTAAGTAATTAAAAAATGATTAATTTTAACTTTTTTTCACTCTCATCAATTTGTTTTTTCAATCAGCAGTTTCATTGTCTGGTATGTTCATAGTGTGTACCACACATAAGCCCGATAAGTGTTGTATTTCTGGAAGGCAGTCAAATTACATGTACTAGTAACTTAAATAAACAAAAGTTATCTCAATATAGTGATAGAGGGTGCTACAACTACTATGACGCAGCAGCAAGTGAAAGTGTATATATGTGTCATAGGCTTGCTTGTCAAACTGTTATGATATTAAATGATTAACTATAATACTTGTATTAATTTGCACCAAATTGTTATAATTTCTCAATTATTGAATCTTTTTTCTTCTTGTAGCAACACAAGTTTGAAATGTATGTGCAGTATTGTAAAAACAAACAAAAATCTGAAGCTCTGCTATCCTCACAAGTTGCCAAGAACTTCTTTGAGGTAAATGTCATACCATTTTTTCTTGTTTGTAGTTTTAGTACAGCATTTTGTGTATTTTTGTTGTAGTTCATGATTTTTATGGATTATTTTGGTACTCTATATATCAAAATTATTGACAAAATGTGAAAAAAGTTTATTTTGTGGCAAAAATTGAGATCTTGTTTTATTTCAGGATATAGGCAGAGCTCTCGGTGGTGACAAACAATTATCTCTGTCAGATTACTTAATCAAACCTGTGCAGAGAATTACTAAATATCAACTACTTTTAAAAGAAATAGTAAAATACACGGCAAGAGCCAAACAAGATTGTGCAGATCTGGAGGTAAGCTTTTCAAACACTATTATAAGCTGACATTGAATTTTAGTGTTGAATAAAAATGTATTGCCACTTCTTGCTGTGTTAAATGTTCAAATCATCTGTCTTTGAATCCTTTGGGTACCTTATTTTTCCAACCAAATGTGGGTGTAACCAGAGGTACATTACTTGGGGTTTGCAACACGCATCGTACTGTATGGTGACATCATGCCAAGATCTCATTCAAGTCTCATCTCGTAGATAGCGAGACTGATGCTACTACCTTCTGACATGACATAGGCGGTTTGTAATAAAACAATATAACATGTATTATCACATTCATAGTGAAAAAATGTAATAAATCGAAAATGTACAGAATATATAGTTATCGTAATCCGTCCATATCGTGAAGCAGCTATTTTGATCCAGGCATGCGCATTCGCAATTTTCTGAGTTGCAACTCTTATGCGAGAGTGAGATTGAAACCGTATCTTGGTATCATATCACCGT